CCCAGAAACAGGAACAATTCATCTAGAAGCTAGCCACTCAGCACCAAGAACAGCACCATCACCAGGTCCAGCAGATGGCAGCACAACAAGCCCCAGAAGCCACTGCTAACCCAGGGTCAGGGTCCCGTAGGGTGATCCCGATGCCAGGGATCCTGGCCAGGCTGATGAAGACAGGCCCAGAGGATGAATGACCCGGAACCTTTCTTGGTGACATTTGAACATTGTGGCCACCATGGTAGCATGGTCACCAGGCCATGCTCTTGACCCCATACCTGACAAGACTGGCCCAGGTGCTAGATACCAGGATGCCTAAAAGTATCATAAGATCAAGGCAGTCATTCTCCTCAGAGACATATCAACAGTGCTTCCAGAAAGAAAAGCACCGCTGGGGGCCTGCCATCAGGTAGTGGCCTAGCGCCTCAAGGATTGTTGCTGGTGCTGGCTAATTCCAGACAGGCGCACTGGGGTACAGCTGGTGGAGGATATTGTGCTCAAACAATTTATCTAGGTTCTCAGGGGCCAGGAGTGGGTGCAGAGACATTGACACAGCATGCCATCAGAGATGCCAGGCCTTATGGAGAATTACCTGGCTACCAAAGGGCCAAGCCCCCAAGGCGCTGTCGCCAAATGTAGAAAACCAAGCACAGCGGAGAGAATGGGGCACAGGAGACCATCAGCTGAGGTGAGGCCTGAGTGCCTTCCAAGGCAGAGACTATGAGGCTGAACAAGAACTCCCCAGAACACAGAGATGTACAGAGCTGTGGTCCATGGAAGCCAAGGCTCCCCCAACCGTGATAATCCCAACGGAGGGGTGGGGAGACAACAGGCAATTGCTTCAAGCATGGACAGCACAGTCACTTTCAAGGTGACTGCTCATTTATCGACTATAGCTACAGGCAAGCCTGGACAGCCACTCCCAGAGCCCACAAACAGGGACCGGACAAGATGATAGTCCCAGTAAGGATCTACAGTCCAAAATGATGGGCTTAATAGATTCAAGGTGCAGCCAGGCCCCCATATACACAGAGATGTGCGTTCATACACCACAAAGGAGATATAGTTGACAGTGAGGAACCACACCGAGACTCTCTGTGTGGGGGCGGAGGTCTCCCTCACCAACCCACTAGTTCTGCACCATGACTGGAACTACTTTGGTGAAGTCTTGCAGGGGCAGTAGAAAGACCCGTGCAGAGGGGATGACCGTGCCTTCAAGACCAGAGAAGAAGTGGGGTCTGGGGAGCCGGCTGATGCGGGAACATGAGAATATCCAGAAGAGGGGACTTCACAACTTGTGAGGGCCCCTAGGGGACCAGTGAACTCAAAGTCCTGTGGGTACAGAATGGCTGACCCAAAACAAGAATTTCATAGGGGAACAGAAGAGCAATCCCATCTTGAGCAAAGCATACGAATAGCTGGCCACTGCCACCGGGGAAGCAGTCAATCAATAGAGGCTAAGACAATAGCCATGCATCCAACTAAGAAAGGAATGACTACCAAGTGGTACGTGACCCCCAGATCACCAAACCGCAGTCCCAACTTCTGCTACCCTGTTCCTTTCAGAGAGTTACTCCAGCTCACGCACTTGGTACCATGCATCAGCCACCTGGGAAGGGAGAAAACCCTTGAAAGAATTACCAGCCTGTTCTATTGGCCAGGCATCTACAAAGAGATAAGGGGTAATTTACTATTTGTCCTGCCTGGAATGTCAGTTGACAGGACCCAAGAGCACTCCTAGGCCCACCCTGATACTCATGCCAGTAACAGACACCTCCTTTGAGAGAATCGGCATTTGACTGGACCACTAGAGAAGAGCATGAAGGGATAACAGCACATACTGGTGATCATGGATTATGGCACGTGGTACTCCGAGACCATTCCGCTTCGCACGACCAATGCGGTGACCACAGCTATGGAACTCATGATGGTCTTTGTGAGGGTGGGGATCCCCAAAGAAACAGACCAGGAGCTGAACTTCATGTCAAAATTGATGAAAAATATATGTGAGCTACTGAAAATCAAATCTCTAGGACATCTGTCTACTACCCCCAAACAGATGGACTAATCAAACACTTCAACAGGTCCCTGAAAGGGACGATGACAAAGTTTGTGGCTGAAGACCCTCACTACAGGGATCATTTGTTATTGCCCCTGCTATTTGCAGTGCGCAAGGTTTCACAAGCATCCACGGAGTTCTCACCCTTCCGGTTGTTATATGGGAGACAATCCCAGGGGATTCTACATCTAGTTGGGAAACTTGGACTCTTGCTCCTCTCAGTCACTGCACTAAAAAGCACATTCTCCAGCTCTGAGCAAAGCTGAAGACACTATGGACTTTTGCCCCTTATAGTCCCAAGATTGTCAAAAACAAGCCTATAATAGGGGCACCCATCCACACAAATTCCAGCCCGGAAACAGGGTATTGCTGTTGCTGCCCAGCTTGCAATCAGAGTTAATGGCAAGGACCCTTCAAGGTGGCACACCAGGTAGGAGCAGTGGATTACGAGATCCAACAATCTGGGAAGAACAAAGAGACCCTGGTTTATCATATAAGTCTTCTGAAGGCCTGACAAGACTGCAAGAGCTTATTCATAAACACATTACCCCCAATCCAGAGCTGAGCCCCCATGCACCATTATCACAGGGCTAGACAATTCCCTTGGGGGAAACGCTTCGGCTGTCCTAATGGACTAAGACGTTGCAGGTGGTCCAATCTTTACCTTCCATGTTCTAGTCACGACCCAGATGAACCCATCTGTTTGTCAACTTCACAACAGAGCACAGACACAAGGTTTGAGAGAGTCATCATCCCCTGTCCAGAAAGAAGCAGGATGCTATCCATTAGGAGCTGCAGGCAATGTTGGACCTCAGGGTGGTAGCAGAATCCCACGGATGGTGGGGACCCAATGTCCTGCTACCCATGGCAGATGGGACAACTCGGCTTTGAAACAACTTTAGGAAGGTGAATACAATATCCACATTTGACGCATATTCATATTGTTGACTGATTGGGGGCCACAAAGTCCATCTCCACTTTAGATCTGACCAAGGCATCTCAAGAGAAAACAACCTTTGCAACATCTTTCAGCCTGTACCATTTCAAAACTATACAGGGCCACGGCCACCTTCTAACAGTTGACAGACACAGTCCTGCAACCACACAGCCAGTATGAGACAGCCTACATAGTCGATATACACCTATACAGTTGTGATTGGAAAAAACACCTCAAGCATATATTGGTAGTCCTAGGGGCCTCAAAGAAGCTGGCCTCACTACAAACCCAGCCAAGTGCTGATTGGGGTTTCATGAGGTGATGTATCTGGAATACACAATTAGAAGGAGCAAACTTAGGCCTTTAATTGGGACGGTCCAGACCTTGACTATTTATCCTATGCCATCAACAAAGAAACAAGTTAGATGATTTTGGGGTCTGGCTGGCTACTATAAGCAGTTCATACCCTATTTCATCACAATAGCTGCACCCCTCACTCACTTAGTGAAGAACTCTATCCCCAAGATGATCACCTGGTCTGAGGTCTGTAACAAAGCCTACAGAATCTTAAAAGATTGCCTGAGCAGTGAACTGGTCCTCTTCCACCCCGACCTCACGTGATTGTTCATACTCCACACAGTCATTTCAGATGTGGGGCTATAGCCACCACTATCCCAAGACTTTAATGAGGAAGACAATCCAATACGCTACATTGACCAGAAACTATTCCCATGAGAGGGCCTACTCAACCATAGAGAAAGAGACCTTGGTGGTGAAATGGGCCATAGAAGCATAGTGGTATTACCTACTGGGAAATCCCTTCCTCCTGATAATTGATCATGCACCCCTCCACTGGATAAATACCATGAAAGACACCAAACCTGCAGATTATGAGGTGATATTTGGCCTCACAACCTTATGCCTTCCAGATTGTTCCCTAGCTTATGGGATTGGTCCTGCTTTGAGCAGGAGGTTGGACTAGATGACCTCCTGAGGTCCCTTCCAACCCTGATATTCTATGAATAACTCCAGAATGCCCAATGGACATGCTCCAGTTGGAGGAGAGGTCTCTTCGGCACAGCAGGGTGGGTGGTGGGCAGAGAGAGACAGGCCTGTATTCATGGCTAAAGAGGAACTACTGCAGACGGGTATCCCCAGGAGGGAACTGCTGCACAAAATCAAGACTCCCTAACCTGCTGAGGCTCGTGGGCTGGATGACAAAGAACAACTGCAAGTAACAATGCACCCTGAGGTGGTACAGAGTGGCAGGAAGAGGCCCGGGAGAGTGTGTTAACTGGACTGCAGATAGTGGGTGCCTTCCTTACAGAGGGCCCCTGGTTAGAATTCAGGGGAGTAGGAGGAGCTGGATTCCCCTACCCCCTTAACTGCTAGGTGGGGCTGACACCACAGACTGACCATAGGCAGGGTGGCCCAGCACAGTCCCCCTCTTCCGCCCCACTCACAGGGGCATGCAGTGTACTTACTTTACATGCTGCCGTAAGCATAGACATAACCTGATAAATTTACAACTTACTCCCACCACCACTGAGGAAAAAAAAAAAAAAGAGACAGAAGATGGGCATAAATGGCTTTTAAGAGAATAAGTCATGTGAGATCAGAGTGACAGAAGAAAATCATTTTTAGGTAGATAGTGTGAGCAATCAGCAGATATTTTGGGCCTAAGTTTGCTCTCTCAAACTATCTAATAAGTGACTCTCTCGTTGTACACGGGTCAGTAGGATCACAATAATGTCTAATTCTTATACAGCTCTTTATCCATAGATCTCAGAGAATTTGATGAAGGAGGTAAGTATTGTTATGCCCATTTTACATATAGGGAAACTGAGGCCGGGGGGGGTGTCAAGTGACTTGCCCCAGGTGAACCAGCAGCCCTGTGACAGTGTGAGGAACGAAACCAAGGTCTCTCAAGTCCCCAGTCCAGTGCACTATCCAGTAAAACCACATTACCCACATTGTAAGGTGTTAAGAAACACAAGAGAAAATACTTACTCTGAGTCGAACACACCCTCTTCGTGATCCTCTCATCATTTTGTCCTTTGACTGAAAGAGAACAGATTAATTGGATTAATAAACTTACTAAGAAATCACATAAAAAAAATTATTCAATACAATTTGGAAAGAAGTAAAGCATTTTGGAGTAAAGTTTTATGGACTGGTGAAATAAAACTACCACTATGACAGAGGTTATACTCCATATAGCACAGGAAGAAAGAAGCCTAACGCACAACTGTCTGTTTTCTGGTGTTATGTATGGTAGGAGGTAACGTCATAGCATGGGACAGTAGCTCTTCTAAAGGTGTCACACAATAGAGAGTCAATAAAGTGCACATCAAACCACATATAAAACTTCTTGAAGAAAGAGACTAAAGGCTCCACACAACCGTTGTCTCTGAAAGTAGATTTTGACCTAAGTGCACAGGAAACACCGGAAAATGCAACCCAACCACATGTGTTTTCAGGAAGTAAGGATGGATACAGTCCCCCAAGCAACAGCTACAGAGCCCAGAATGATTCTTAGAAATTCCAAACTAGGATTTAAAACTAAACTAGTATTTTCAGAGGAGTTTGTTTGTTTTTAACATAATGAATGCTTCTGCAGATAAACTCTCTTACAATTGAACGTTAGTATGTTGCATAATTACCTGAGAACAGATTTACATATTGCTTGAAATTTGTAAGGTATGTTTTCTTTCCACGGGGAAAAAAACTCTGTAAAACTGTCCAAAATCTAAAGTAACCCTTTTAGAAAGTGTCAGAAACATGCCGTGACAGGTGAGCTGAAAAGATCAACACAGAAGGCTGAACAAACATGGAATGATGTTTGTGACTGAACTTTAAGGCTTTGTCTAGTCTAGGATTTAAAGATGTGTAAACCAACACATTCTAAACAAGTTTAGTGTAGACTTAGCCAACTTGGCATGTGTTCAAGTCTACAATAGACTGCTTAGAATGTGTTGGCTAATATGCCAACATCACACCTTGAAATCCTGATCTAGATAAAGTCAAAGATGAAGAGTGCAGCCACACCAGAAAAAGTGTCTTACCATGTTAGCTAACAATTGGTAACAAACACGAGGTAGTGAAGACAAGGCAGTTTGTCTTTTACTAGGATTCTACTGCATTTTAGTTGCCACATTAGCTAAAGTGTGGTAAGAAAACATTTTTCCCCCCTAGTGTGGACAATGCCTAACAGTACTGACAGTGGATTTTATCATGTTCTGCTAATGATCAGGAACTATTACAGAGTTAATATATGAGAACTACTCGAGATTTAGATGTCAAGAAACACTAAACATTTCCATCACCTTTTCTTTAATAAACAATATTTTACAAAATATCCATCATTGTTTTTCCACTTTAAAATAAAGGTATCACTGTTAAAGGAAACACCAGAAACGACATCGGCAAAGCTTAAAAAGAAAATGTTTAGTGTAGCACATACCACACACAAGACAACCAACAAGGTCAAGCAAAGATATCTGGGGGCCTAGGAAGAGAATAAGAGAGTGGGTCCCCTCCCTAAAGTTTATTAATAAAAATACCTAAAGAACCCAGAAATATATGTTCCTGCTCTGAATTTTGGAGGTTTTTTTGGGGGGGGAGGGGTGTTTTGGGGGGAGGAGGGGAAGGCCCACATACCTAGTTTATATGCAATTCAAGTATACCAAAGTGTGACATATTCCTCATCCGTCTTCAGTTTTGCCGCCTCAGGCTCCTATAACCACACTCAACCTTGGGCTACACTTCACCTAGATTTGCTGCTCCAACAAACAGCACTTTCAGTGATGCACAACTAGTTTCTCTAAATAAACAATTATTTGGCAATTAGCAGTTAATGCCTTCTGCTCATTTAGAGTGGAAATACAGAAGAAATTTTGCACCAAAAGCAAAAATCTATTTTGCCCCCATATTTACATAAATGTGGCATTGTTAGATTCCTGTTGTGAAACACCTACCTCCTATTCAGCAATACCCCAGAACTCAGGTTCTGTAGGAACCATATCCCTGCAATACAATAGGCCCACATGACAAAATACAAGGCATGTGGCTGTTCAAGATTGCAGCTAGCTAAAACCATTACAAGAGGGCGGGCGGGCAGGAGGGGGGGGGGAGAAGAGAGGAGAGAAGTTTTAAAAGCAAAGACTGCTTCCTCTCCTCCATCTGCCAAATTTCACCTGCATTTTGCTTGTAACAGATGCCAGAAGAAAGTGTGGATTTGTTGCATGTATTCCACCAAGTAAAATTTGATAGTTTCTAGTAATTGTTTCACACTCCCACCATGCCTGAATTGGTTGCCGATTTAAAATATGAATACATCTGTAACCAATTAGTGATGATAGGACTGTAAACCTACTGAAATCTACTGAATTTTACTTAATGAACACATTAAAAGTGTATTTTCATATATAACTACATTGACATATGCTGCTGACATCCAGTCTGGCCCTTCAGTCACCATGAAAGGTGATTGTCTAATTAGGTCGGCCACAGGAAAGGAATGTTGCTGATGGGTTCATGAAAGAGATATACAAACAGTATTTAAATTATACCATTTTGAACTTGCTTCACTTTTATGGAGTGGTATTTGGAACAAGAATTAATAAGGTGCAGAACTTCCACAATCCTCTAAAAATCAGTGTAACACACAAAGATAGAGATTCATTTATAAAAATTAGTAAAATTAGTTTACAATCTCACTTACTTATTCCGTTTTTTTACAGGTTTGTGTACCTATGCCCACCTGACTATCAGTTTTCATTACACTGCTAAAACACTATTTTCATTTAGTACAGCAATACCTAAAACCTAAAATGTTTAGACTAAACTATTACATGAACTACTTTGAGTATGACATACAGCAATTTATTGTACCTTGCATTTTGGATTCAGCTTTAAAGGTGATTTTAAAAGTCATCAAACCAGATTACTACAAAGTATAGAAAATGCAGTTGAATTTTGTAGAATTAAATTTTGATTTTAAAACACTAACATTACCAGGAGAAAAAAAGAGAATGCCAATAGAACTGAACATTGGCATAAAGTGATGGATCTATTAAACCAACATTTATTGATGTTTTAACCTTTATTTCTGGTGAAAATGTATGAGCCAGAAAGCATGGTTTGACTTTCTGATCCCAACTTGACAGTATTCCACAATGACTTTTACAGAATAAGTAATCCAACAAATTTAAGTGGTAGATCACTTCTATCACTAAAGATGAAAGGGAAAAAAACCCAGATAAACAACACTTATTAAAACAAAACCCTCTATTATCTCCCCCCCCCCGGCCGCCCAATCCACCGTTTTTTAACGTACTGGTTACATAAACGTTTTTTGTACTCCGTAAGTGGTGGCTAGAAATCTAGTCAGCCAGCAAGGTAAGAGCCTAAAAGGGGTCATCTGTTCTTGGCGCGGGGTTTACACATACACTCGTACTGTTCTGCGATCCCTGGAGAAAGGGTGCTACAGAAGAGCGAAGTGCTTTACAAATGCGTAGACACTCAGCCTCGCAGCAGACGCGAGGAAGGTAAAACGCTCCCGACGCCCCATTCTCCAGAGAGATGCCGAGCCACGGAGGACCGGCCCCTCGCGGTGGGTCACAGCCGCCGGGAGCCGGGGATAGGAGCCAGGAGGGCGGGCAGCACCGCTCACCTAGTGCTCTGGGCAGCAGGGGCCTGTCGGCAGTGCGCACTCCCCCTCCCCCATTCAAATCACAAGGGGGGGGGGGAAGGATCCCAACGCCTTTCGCAAGCCAGGACCGCCCCCTCCAGCCACCGGGCCTAGCGACGGGTTAGCAGCGCCCCCCTCAAAGCCAGCCCCCCCGCCACGCTGGGGGACAACGGGGATCAGGCGGACCGAGACCAGCGTGTCACATACTGGGGGGGCGGTACCCGACGTCCTTCCACATACTCCCCCCCACCCCCCCATCCTATCCCCGCACGCAGCTGCCAAGAAAAACGCTTCTCGCCCCCCGTCTCTAAATCTTTCACAGGGGCCTCCCGATTGGCTACCACCATCGTCTCCTCCCTCCCCATTGGCCGCCCAGTGACCATCACCCCCTCCTCTCCCCGAAGCTCGCTCCCCCCTCACCCTCCCGGCACCTCACCGTGTAGTAGGAGAGCAGCCCCGCGTTATAGTCCAGCACGAACCAGCGGTACTGCCAGCCCTTCATCACGTTGGTCCATTTGCTCAGCGGCCCCTCCATGATGGACGCCATCTTGGGAGCCAGCCCGGCACCGCAGAGCCGGAGGCTCGGCGCGGATGGGGGAGACAGCACTGCGAGCGGGCTGGGGCCGGGCACGCAGCGGGAGGGAAGACGGGAACAGGCACTAAACAAACAGATGGGAGGGGCAGCCGGGAGTGCAAGAGAAACAGTCGGGGGCGGGGCTTCCTCACGCAGAGGGGGGCGGGGCCAAGCTGCCAACAAAACAACCCGGGGGCGGAGGGAGAGGGAGATCTTTGCCTGGGCACTCGGCCAGGGGCGGGGTCGGGGACTAAACTCAGCGCGAGCTAGGGAAATACAGCGGAGAGGCTAGGCCGCTAACAGGAAGTGGCGAAGAAAAAGAGGGCGCGGCTCAGGTCAGGGGGCGGGGCCATGTCCTGGCTCCTCAAGGGGGCGGGGTCTGGCTCCTCCCTCTGGGAGGGGTGTGTGTCCGTTCCCGAGAGCGGGGCCCCGCCCACGAGCAGTAGGCGGTGCCAGTCTCTTCACTCTGGAGCGGGGCCCGACGGGCAGGGCCTGGCTCCTCTGGCAGGGGGCGGGGCCCCGGCCTGCGGCTTTTAGAGGCGCGGCAGGTTGCCTAGCAATGACTCAGGTGCTGGAGGAGCGAGCGCGGGCACTGTGTACCGTGCACCAGGGCTAGGTGCTGAGGGGAGTCAGAGCTGAGTGTGGGGCAGCCGGCAGGGCATGAAGGCTGAAGTATATATGAGGTCAGGAGCACTGGGCCGCATAGGTCCTGGAACTAGGGTTGCTGCCGCATCCCCTGTCTTGAAGTAGTAATAACCCAAATACATGGTTTCTGCCTTCACCACCCCCACTATAAAAACTGTTCCGAGACTAGAGGGAGGTGTGAGTGCAGGGGCTTCAGAGTGGGAGAGCCAAGTGTGCAGCTGGGAACAATGGGCATGAGCTGTGAATGCAGGGCTTGGGCCAGGGCTGCAGGGGGTGAGAGCTGAATGGCATCCTAGCCATGGATGAGGGACAGGGCAAGGTGTCGGGGAGTATGGGCAGGGTGCCACATGCATCCTGCAGCATTCTGCTGTCATCTAGTGCCTCAAATACTGCAGGGCCCACTAGCCCCTTTCCGATTCTGTACTCACTGGTGTAGTTTACAGATGTGGTACTGCATGCACTGCCAATCTCTGTCAAGTTTCATTTACATTCATTGTGCAAAACTTTCCCTTCAGGTACCTTTTGTTCCTACTTCCTCTTGTACCTTTCCCAGACAGTGGGCCCGGTTGAACCCTGGTATAAGTTACTCACTACCTTGCTCCTGCTGGAAGTGGTGTTTACATTATACAAGGGCTGCACTTGGTCTAAGGTCTTAGACCAGAAAACTGGTTAAGAGTTTAGTCATCCGCGCACACTTCTCACATCACTTTTATGTCAGTAGCTCTAATGACTACAGGGGATTTACTCCTGATTTACAGTGTTGTGAAAGGAGAATCAGGCTTCATTAATATTCCTCTCTGCAATGCAAAAACATAGCAGAGAACAAATACTTTCCTATTTGTAACTTATCCTGCCATTTCACATCTGACTGCTCCTAAAACCTCACTGTGGTTGCTACTGTACTTTGTTTCCAGCTGCAATTTAAGGAGTTTGATGTAATATTTCTGGTAGGCACCAGATGGTGCCCTTACACACAGTCTTACCAGTTCGGTTGTGATGATGTACAGGCAGTTCAATCTTGCAGAAATTTTTGTCAGTTGTAACAATTTTTATTAGCTGTACATGTCTCCACTAAAATCTGTTTACTGCTTTAGTATCTCTAAATGCAGAATTGCTGCCTATAGATTATACCAACATAAGCAAAATAAAACATTACACAATGTCAAAACTCTAGTTTTAACATGTAAAACCTTTCATTGGTTTGGATCCTGGTTGTCTCAGATCACTTGTTTCACTGTGTCGTACCACAGCAATTGAGACCCTCCAAAGAGCTCAAGTGAACATCTGTCTTGTTTAATTTGAGACTGGAGGCAGCACACTCTCAGAGAGGGATCCTCCACTGAAGAATTTGCACTTCCTTTTTGTTTGATGGAGCCTCAAATTCAGATTCCAAGGCCAGAATCATCTAGTCTGATCTCCTCAAAATAATTCCTATACCATAGCTTTTAGAAACATAACTTTGAAATCAAGATTGGAAATAAGGTGTACATTTTTAACAGTGAGAGTAATTAACCATTGGAACAATTTACCAAGAGTTGTGGTGGACTCTCCATCATTGATATCCAATCTGAATTTGTCTAGCTTCAGCTTCTAGTATTCTCTGCTAGAGCCACATAGACTGTGATCCAGTCACCCCTTCTCCTCCTCTTTGTTAAAATCAATAGATTGAGCTCCTTGAGTCTATCACAAAAAGGCATGCTTTCTAACCCTTTAATCATTCTCGTGGCTCTTCTCTGACCCTCTCCAATTTATCATCACTTGAGTTGTGGACACCAGTCTACTCTTACTCAAGATTCCCCTGTTTATGCATCTAAGGATCCCATTAGCCTTTTTAGCTGCAGATTTGCACTGGGAGCTCATGTTGAGTTGATTATCTACCATAACCCCCATATCTTTTTCAGTCACTGCTTCCCAAATGAGAGTCTCCTGTCCTGTAAGTATGGCCTATGTTCTTCGTTCCTAACTATATACATTTAGCCGTATTAAAATGCATAATGTTTGCTTATGTTCAGTTCACCAAGCAACCCAGATCTCTCCATATTAGCCACCTGTCCCCTTCATTATTTACCATTCTCCCCAGTTTTTGTCATCTGCAAAATTTATCCAAAATGATGGTATGTTTTCTTCCAGGTCGTTGATAAAAGTGTTAAATAGCATAGGACCAAGGACCAATCCCTGTAGGATCCCCCTGGAAACACACCCCTTGAAGATGATTCCCAATTTACAGTTATATTGAAGCTAATTTAATGTGTACCTATAAATTGATGTTCTCACCTCTAGGTTACCCCTTATGCCTGGACATGGTGCTCCAAGTGATTTTGCCTCATGCATCTCCTCCAGTAACCACTTTCTCAGTCATAGTGACCACTCAGCTGGTCTCTTCCCCAGACTCCCTCAGTGGGTCTTCTGTGGCTCAGCCCTCTGGCCAAGTCAAACACTCATTCAGTCCCCTTGCAGGGTTCAGCTCTGAATAAGAGGTCCTTTACCACTCCTAGGCTTTACTTCACAAACAAAGAGTTCTTTACGCCTTCTGGACCCAACATCAATTTGTTTTGCCCTTGTAGGCCCTAGCTCAGGGCTCCCCCACAGAAGCCACTGTGCTACTTGTGGGTTGCTCAGCCTCTTCCCAAAGCATATCTCCCCTTGTTCCTCTCTACACAATCCTCCTCTCTCTACTGAGTGCTCAGCTCTATTTAAGGGTATGTCTACACTGGCAGAGTTACAGCGCCGGCAGTTACAGCACCGCTCAGAGAGTGCTGAAAGGAATCTGCTGTTGTGTGTTCACACTGTCAGCTGCCTGCGCAATAGCATGTTCACACTTGCGGCACTTGCTTCGGTATTCGGAGTGGTGCACTCTGGACAGCTATCCCACAGAGCATCTCTTCCTCTTCTGCCGGTAAGAGTTGTGGGAAGGCGGAGGGGGTCACGGGGCATCCTGGGTCCTGTCCCAATGACTCGTGATGCATTGCTTCACATCCCAGCAATCCCTGTGTTTCTGTCCGCATTTGGTGCCATCTTTCAACAGTTTGTGTACTGTGCGCTCTGCCTCTTCGGTCTGCAGGAATGGATCCCGCACTGTTGACCAATATGCTGCTCGCTCTCACTAACACATCATGAGTGGCAGCGGAGTTATTCCTTAAACTACAAAGGCAAGAGGACTTTGACATTGATCTCACCATGCGTAGTAGCTATGACACGAGATTGCTTATGGCATTAAAAGGTGCTGACCACAGTGGAATGCTGGTTTTGGGCTTGGGAAACAAGCACTGAATGGTGGGATCACATTGTCATGCACTTCTTGGATGGCGAGCAGTGGCTGCAGAACTTTCGGATGAGGAAAGCCACATTCATGAGACTGTGTGATGAGCTCGCCCCAGCCCTGCGGCACAAGGACACGAGAATGAGAGCTGCCCTGTCATTGGAGAAGCGCATGGCGATTGCACTGTGGAAGCTGGCTACTCCAGACTGCTACCGATCAGTCACTAACCAGTTCGGAGTGGGAAGGTCGACCGTTGGACTTGTGTTGATGGAAGTGTGCAGGGCCATTAATCGCATCCTGATCCAAATGACCGCGACTCTGGGCAACGTGCATGACATTGTGGATGGCTTTACACAAATGGGCTTCCCTAACTGCTGAGGGGTGATAGATGGCACGCATATTCCAATTCTGGCACCAGACCACCTAGTACATTAATCGGAAGGGGTATTTCTCTATGGCTCTCCAGGCGCTTGTGGATCACCGTGGGCGTTTCATGGACATTAATGCAGATGGTTCGGAAAGGTGCATGACGCATGCATCTTTCGGAACACTGATCTGTTCAGGAAGCTGCAAGCAGGGACTTTCTTCCCAGACCAGAAGATCACCGTAGGGGAAGTCGAAATGCCCTCTGTGATTCTGGGAGACCCTGCCTACCCCTTAATGCCAGGCCTTATGAAGTCATACACGGGGAACCTTGACAGCAGCAAGGAGCAGTTCAACAACAGGCTGAGCAAGTGCAGAATGTCAAGTATCCGGGGGTAGCCGTGTTAGTCTGTAGCCACAAAAACAAGGAGTCCGGTGGCACCTTAAAGACTAACAGATTTATTTGGGCATAAGATTTCATAGGTAAAAAAACACTTCTTCAGATGCATGGAGAAGGGGGTTTTTTACCCACGAAAGCTTATACCCAAATAAATCTGTTAGTCTTTAAAGTGCAGAATGACTGTCGAATGTGCTTTTGTCCGTTTAAAGGTCCACTGGCGCTACCTATATGAGAGGCTGGACCTGGCCGATGACAATACTCCTATACTTATAGCCATGTGCTGTATGCTCCATAATATTTGTGAAGGGAAGGGTGAAAGCTTCACTCAGGGCTGAACCACTGAGGCTCAGTGCCTAGAGGCTGAATTTGAACAGCCAGAGACCAGGGCTATTAGAGGGGTGCAGCGCGGGGCCATAACGATCAGGGATGCCTTAAGGCAGCAATTTGAAGCTGAAAGCCATTAATATTTCTTGCTATGCTCGGGAGTGCAGTGCTTGT